CACACCTGTGACGGTCTGTGACGGTCCGTCCTGCCATTCCGTCACAAAGTTCAGAGAGTCGATTTTTAGTACCCAATTTCAGATTTTCTAAGTGTTTTGAAACGAGACCCTGCGACGGTCCGTCGTGCCCTTGACGGTCCGTCGTGGGGTCCGTCGCTTTTGCTAGTTTTTTCCAGAATTGAAGTCTGTTGCCAAAACGACTAAACAGGTCGTTACAAGTATACTGCTCACTTACTTGTATGTGCATATATTTGCTGCAAAATCATACTTCATTCAGTAGTTGCCAATGTTTTTCAATGTGTTTCTCCAATCACAATGTGATTTCACATTGATGAACATTGGCAAGTAGATCTAAGTAATGCATTTTTCATGTTGCTGTACTGCAGATTGTTCTTGTAAAGTTCATTTTTTTAATTTAGTCGGGTACATTTTACTTATCTCACCTATCCATGACATGTCTGATGCCAGATGATGATTGATTAGTGTTGCAGATGCATTAATCTTTCTCATTTTCTTCTTGCTGAAAAACACATGATCAACTCATTTTGTCTGGATCTTTAGATTTGTTCAAAATGGAGTTTGAATATGTTTGATATACATCATATTCATGATTAGTTATAGAATGGGACATATAACTCAGAGAAGGGAATGTTTGTGGACTCTGTAAATCTCCATGGTTATGCTTAGTATTTGAACACATCTCTTGTTTTTTCCTCGTCTGACTCTGTAAATCTCCATGGTTGTGCTTATCCCAGTCTGGGGACTCTGTGAATCTCCATTGTTGTGCTTACTATTTGAACACCTCTTGTTTTTTCCTAATCTGGACACAAATCAGTGCTAATGTAACTACGATATCATGCCGGGGAAATACTAACTACCCCTCAAACTAAAACCGAATTCTCAACTACACCAATTATGCTTTGCGGGGGTGGGGGTGGGGGGGAGGCGGTCCTACTACCCCAGATTTAAAAATAGAATTATTACCAACCTGAAAAGCCACAACCAGATGTGTGTTACATGAGTGATATACACATGCTTTACACGTTTACGTTACTGCTTTAACTTTTTTTTTTAGTACTTGTTTTGCTTATGCTTCTTTTTGTAGCTATCTTCCAGTGTGTTGTTGAAAATTCAATCATAATTAGAAGAGGTTACTTTTGCCTTTTCACCATAGTGAAATTTTGCTAATGATTCTGATTCTATGCAGAGGCTCGGACGACCATGGCAAAACAGCAACAACCTATAAATCAGAGAGACGAAATGAGATGGTAGAAGAAGGTTTCCGCATAGTGGGCAACTCAGGAGACCAATGGAGTGATCTGCTAGGCTCCTCTATGACTTATCGCTCATTCAAGCTTCCAAACCCGATGTATTACATTCTTTAAAGTAACTAATAGGTTTGGTAGTCCATGTTGATGCAACATGCCAATGATTATTTCTTTTCACTGCAATGGAACTGTAATTCTTATAATCCCTTAAACTGGAGATCATTGATGATTCAATTAATGTATGCCGTAGCAGCAACAATTGTGCATAACCACCATTTCCGTCTGTGACGACTCTTTTGTTTCTAAACCACTCTTTTAGTGTTTTGTTTAGTCCCACTGCCATATCATAGCCAAGTTATGGGGGCTACTCATAAAAAGGTTTCCTACTTGCAAGACTAATGGAGAGATATAAACGAAAGGTAAGTAATATTTGTACAACGTTGACAAAAATAAAATATCGTCATTTGATGGTCCTGTGTTTGTAAATTGTAAATACTTTTCAGTATACAAATTTTATACTCTTCTCACTTTTTTTTTCTAATTACTTGTTCACTTTTAAATTTTCACATCTATTAAGAAAATAACTAATGTCATAATGAATTTACTATTTTACCTTTATTAATTATGAAGTGAATGAAAAATTCTACATATTTTAAAATAATTAATATAAGTAAAACAAATTTATCCATTTTTAATTTATTAAAATAGATAAATAATTAAAAACATTATAACAGAAAAAATGGAGAAGAAGTTTAAAGGACAGAGGAAGTGTATATGACTAATGGGATATTTTGGGTGTAATACACAATTAATTGAGTACCAAAAATTGATAATAAACTATTTTTTTATGATCTTTTAAATATTGATATATAAAGAATAAGGACAAAAATTTAATATTTTTTTAAATTTGTTTTGGCATAATATATACCTCGATACCAAGCTAGTGTTTCGTCATAGATTTCTAAATATTTTTGGCAAATATTATTTGGGTGAAATTTCACCAGGTAATTTGGCCATAATATTTGAAAAATATATTTTATTTTTTAAAAAAAATATTATTTATACACATAAATTTTAAAAATATCAAAACTAACCATGAGTTTGTATTACAAGTCAATTGAATCTTTGTTATGATAATAACAAATAGTGCCCATTCATCACTATTTTGGAATTAATATAAAATATTATATAATACAACATAAACAACAACTATAAAAAGTATTTTTATAAAAGATAAAAATTCAAGATAAATTTTTAATTTAAAAAAAAATTCAAATAATGACTAATTTTTTCAAAGTTTTTTCTGGTATTTGGGAATCTGGCACCTCTGTTGATTGACAAATAATGCGATTAACTTCACTTCGTTGCTACAATCTTCTTCTACCTAATTCTTTCATTTCTCGCTTCACAAGAGCTATTACTACTAGTAATCAAAAAGGCCGCAAGTGTATTCCTTTACAAACAACTACTGTCAGATTAGCAGTAAGAGCTCACTCTGTATCACCAGCATCAATGGTCAAAGCCATTAGGGTTCATGAACTTGGTGGTCCTGAGGTCTATTTCTTATCTCTCTCTCTATATATTAAAATTTGTTATATTATCAAAATAAGAAGAAGAATCAAATGCTAATGGTTTTTAATCTGGATGATCATGATTACATTATGCTGAATTAAAAATTCAATCTTTGCAAAAATTAGTTGAGGTGGCTGAAAGTTGGCCGGGACACCACAGTCGTAAAACGAAAGGTTGCATGTACAATAACATTTATATAATTAGATTTAAAGAGTATTAACTCTCAAAGAAGTTACTTTTGTTATAGATTTGGGAGTTGTCATCTATCTAGTTAGTAAGATGTTGAAAAGAGTAGGAGAAGGGATCATTTCCACTTGAAGAGGCTTGTTTGAATAAGAAGTTGGACACTTGATTGGCTTCCCTAAAAGTGTGAAATCTTCATATTTGCACCATTTATATCTTTGAAGATGTCTCTGATACCTTTGAGTTTGTGATAATTAATGATCTTGTTATTGATCATGTCAGTAATCTTTAAGGAGTCCAATTCAAGGTCATGAGTTTTGAATCTAGCCTGTTTGTACCAGTTAGCATCATACATAGTGGCCATTGCCTCTGTCTGATTGTTGCTTTTATATTGAATGGAACTGAAATGGGCATGATCAGGCTGTCAGAATCATTCCTCACCGTGCCACCAATACGTGTTGTGTTATATTGCTGGGTGTAGTTTCCATTACCATCAGTGTTAACTTCAATCCTTCCAAGCATTGGTTTGGTCCAAGTACAGACACCTGATGACTGATCTGAATATTTCAATTCCTTGACATAGTTTTATTTTTTTATTTTTTTCATAGAGTAACTTTGTATTCATATGAAAACAATCATCCAAAAGTGATGAGATGTTAGTTACAAGTTACAACCCTCACTGGACATTGCAAGAAAGAGACAGCCCCCAAAACACCTTGCATTTCTTTCCTTCCATAAGATCCACCAAATAAAGTCTGGAATCAGTTTCCACCAGTCTTCCTCAGAAATTCTTCTTCGAATTGTCTCCCAGCTCCTCAGCAAATCAGAAGTGTTCTAAGGAATTGTCCATCTTAACTCCAAGCATATATAAGAACATTCTAAGGAATTGTCCAGCTTAACTCCAAGCATATATAAGAACAGGCTCCGCAGATTTACAATTGTTATGCAGTGTATGGACTAGGAAGAGGTGGTTGTCTACCTCTGCTTCCTTGTCACAAAGAAAACACCTTGAGCCTTTTCTATATAGTGCTTCATGGGTTAGGCAACTTCTTCTATGTCAATTCTTTGACATAGTTGAGTTCAGTTGCCTGAAATATCACAGCTAGGAAATGCCACTGATATGTCTGTCTTTTTGTTCCATAGGTTATGCATTTCCTTATTGGAAGTAACAAATCTTTTCTGGTTACCATATTCACAAGAAGTCCACCATATTCATAAGAAGTCCAGCTCCTCCAAATTTCCCAACAACAACATACCCACTGCAATCATACTTCCTCCAAATTTCCCAACAAATACAAATAGGAACTATTTGTTGAATCAGTTATTGATAGTCTAAACATCCCACCACATATTGAAAATTCCTTTACAGCACAAGAGTGATGTCTAACTCCCAGAGGATTACCAAAGAAGTTCCAAACATAACAAGCAGCCTCACCATCAATAAAAACATGATTCATTGTATCACAAGTAGGTTTAGCACAACAAAAGCATCTAGAGACTGATTGTTTATCAACATTATGGAGAATCTCATCGAAAGGTAATTTTAAGAATCAATCTCCAAGTAAGAAATGAAACTTTAAAAGGCAAACATTTATGCCATACCTTGTCAAGAGTGATGTCCTTCTGCCTATGTTGTCTGATGATTTGCCATGCTGACAAAGTGCAAGAGGCCACTGTGCAAGAGGTTTGGTCCATTCATGGATGGAACTTAACATATAGAATGATGATACAAGACTGGGAGGTGGATAGACTAGCTGAATTTTATGGCACCTCGGACCATTTTCGAGGATTGGAAGAGGGAGAAGACACTCTTAGGTGGATTCATCATAGCAAAGGTGTCTTCATAGTTAGCTCTGCCTACAAGAACCTGAATCAAATGGGGACTCAACTCAGATTTTTGCCTTGGAAGCTTATCTGGAAAGTCAAAATTCCATATAAGGTGGTAGTTTTTACTTGGTTGGTAGTTAAAGAGGCGGTACTAACACAGGAAAATCTAATGAAGAGGGGAATACATGTGTGTCCTAGATATTTTTTTTTTGTGAGCAACAGGCAGAGACAATCAACCATTTGTTTATTCATTGCAAGGTGGTTAGACAACTGTGGCACTTATTTACCATATTCAGGGGCACAAACTGGACCATGCCACAAAGGGCAAGTCAGGCTATAGAAAGCTGGAACAATGAAGGCAGTGGTAGTACAGACCAAAGCAAATGGAGAATTGTCCCAACAGTGATTTGGTAGACCATATGGAAGGAGAGGAATATGAGATGCTTTGAGAGTGTTAGTAGTCCTTTACGCAGGATTAAAATGAACTGCACAATCACTTTTTGCTATTGGTGCATTTTGGAGTATGTAGATGATCCTATAGCTGTTAGAGATATCCTAGGTCCTTTGTTGATGAAGTAGGAGCTAGTTTAGTTTTGTGTAAGTACACGCAACTGTATGTAGTTCCATGATGTAAATATGGGACCCCAGCCTTTAGTGCTGAAGATTAATACACAGTACTGTTACCGTTGTCAAAAAAAAAGTCATGACTTTCTTGATCTCCAATGGGAATCCCCCCCCCCTCCGGCCCCATGCTGCAACAACCATCATCGATATTCCAAAGAATGTCTTTTTCAGTGTTCTCCCTAGCTTTAGTTAGAGATTTACATACCTGAGAGGTTCCACTTGTCCATGCCTTGGACACTGGATGAACCCTATTGCAATATTTGGCCCTCATGAAATCAGCCATAAAGAAGGCTGAGTCCTGAACTTCCACCATCTTTTGATGGCTAAGGTGTTGGAGATGTCATTCATGTTTCTGATAACAATATCACCCTCATCTTTAGGAAAACACAAGTTATTCTAAGATCTCCAGTGATATTTTGCTTTGTAATCATTGGATCTGCTGTCACATTCACGTTCGTAAATTAGAATCTTAATTGATGGGTCTTTCAATTCTTTGGACACAATACTAAATTTTAGTGTGATAAATTCTATGTTCGCTTTTTTGTGTTTAGAGGAAGCAGGAGAATAAATATTAATGGCAGCCTACTTTTTTAATTTGCATCAACAGAAATTTATTAACCAGTTATTTACAACAAGCCTATTGTTTTGTAGGTCCTCAAATGGGAGGACGTTGAACTGGGAGACCCAAAAGATGGAGAGATCAGGGTGAAGAATAAGGTCATTGGCCTCAACTTCATTGACATATATTTCCGGAAAGGAGTCTACAAAGCTGCTGCATTTCCCTTTACACCAGGTGCTTTCAATCCCCTCTCTCAATTATTTTCTATTCTTCTACATGTTTACGAACATTTCAAGTATAATATGATCCTATTTTAAAGAAGATTCTATTGGAGCCCGCTGGTTTTAGGCATCCTGTAACTTGAATATCTTCTGCTGGTTATGATTAGCTTTGGAACTGCATCATATGCAAAAAGAAAAGCCTGCATCTGCTTCGGCATGAATATCTCAACCAAACATGGGATGCTTTGTTATTTGAAAGTTAAATCGGTTTTCTCTATGTGGAGGACCGGAGGTTTGCCCTATTCGGGAAGCTCCAGATCTATGCTTAGTTTCAACTCCCTAAAGCTCATCGTTGATTACTATCTCCTTCCACTCAAGCCTATTATCCACTTTAATACTAGTTTTAAGTACTGAAAATCTGCCATTTAGCAATGATTCACAATGCAGTAGACTAAAGAGGTGAAGTAAATTAGATGCGTAAAGATTCTGCTTTACTGCAAGTCTGATCCATATACTTATCCAACCAAATAAATAGGGGGGATTGTGTACTTCTCATCATCACAATCGACACTTAATTAGTGAGGTTCTTGTTTTTTCTAGAGAGTATTTGTTTTTTGTGTATCAAGTTATCAACTGTGTGTATTTGTACGGTTTAACCCCTTTATCATCTCTTCGTCCTAGATTCTAAAATATGGAGTTACCAACTTTGTTTTTGTTTTGTCGGAGGAAAAACGATATTCAGTCAGGCCTATGGCTGGATCCTTTTAGATCTAGGGGCCGGCAGAACATGATAGAAGCGTTTCATTTATAAGGTATCGAAGATCATAGAAGTATTATTTAGGTAGCATTCAGTTGGAATTGAAGCTAGAATTAAATTCTTTATGCCAGGTATGGAGGCTGTAGGGGTTGTAACAGCTGTTGGTCCCGGATTGACTGGGAGGAAAGTTGGTGATATTGTTGCATATGCTGGTGGTGTGATGGGTGCATATGCTGAGGAACAGATCCTTCCTGCTGATAAAGTTGTGCCTGTTCCTCCCTCAATTGACCCCATTGTTGTAGCATCCATACTTCTCAAGGGCATGACTGCTCAGTTCCTACTGCGCCGCTGCTTCAAAGTATGTACATCATAATCTTACAGCAGCCGAGTTTCCTCTATTCTTTTTTTCCATCTGTTCCTTCTTTAGTTAAAGTAGACATGCTTATATTATAAACTAGATGATTTAGATTATCTAGTGCGGAAGAAGTCCTCAACTCTTACAAATTTACCAGTTTTAAAAAAGAAGTCCTCAACTCTGACATGGGCATGATTGAGTGTTTGTTTTATGATTTAGATGTTTTTCCCTACATGTTAATCAATGTGATCATATATAGGACAATTTAAGGGAAGATACAAAATATTTGATTGTCTCTTATTACTGGAAATTCAATCTTTAGATATTGACTGGAGTACTAATGGATGATTAGCAATTAGACGCATATCCCATGATTGAAGTTCCTTTATCCATACTCTCCTTTTTTAAGTAAATTAATCTATTTCTTGGTGATTCACAGCAGGTTGCTAGGTCCTATTGCTTTTGACTACTGCATCATGTGTTTCTCTTAGTTATTGCATGAGTAATTACAACTTGAAGAAGTAAACGTCATAGTCCCCAGTGATATGTCTTGAGAAAAACCAATACCGTTGCTTGTGATATTTGGTGTGTAATTTAGAAGTTGAGGGCTAGTAATCTGGATGCGCATATGGATCTTTTCCTCTTCTTCATTTTGAAGATTTCCAGCTTTTAAATTTCATATGATTGTTCTCTTGATAATGGAAGACTATGTGTCCTATCAGTGTTACAAAGCCATAAGCACCATCATTACTTCATTTTTGTCTCCAGGTATCGGGCAGATCTGTGTTCTGGATGGCTGTGCTCTTAAAATCTTGATATTCTCTGTACCAAAGCAACTTTGGGAAACTGTGAAATGGAAGATATTCTTTAATTTCCTGCTGGTTTAGTTGGTTGTTTGCAGCTAGTTAGTGAAGCAGATAAAACATCAGAAAATATAAAATATGACTAAATTGAATGCTTGAAAGCGCGAAGATTATGGAATACATTTTATTATGAGTGCATTGTCTTCCAGTTTCTACAAGGTTAAGCAGTTAACATAAAGTATCTCCGCTCTCTCCTGATCAGAATCAGGTTCCCCATAAATTGGATTCTTAGAGATTTACAGAATTACTTGGGAATCCCAAACCATGGGAAGGGGGACCAAAGGCTTCTAAACTAAATCTGGAGGTTAATGCAGTCCAGTTTGTAGAATAGTGTGCTATAATAAATACAACATGCTGAACATGAACCCGCTCTGCTTCCCAGATTGGTAATTTTAAGAGGGCTGAAAGGAAAAGAAATGACCTTTCTAGCCTCATTGTTTCTCAAAAAAAGAAGTGACCTTTCAATGGTTTTGGCATGTAATGTTTGTGCAACAAATTGCAATTTGCTGTCTTCTTGGAATTTCATCCATCCATTTCCTTTTCATTCAAACTTAATTCTTTTAAAATTCTTTTAATTGAATAGATTTTCCTCTCATTTGCATAAATTCAAACTAAGATATAGCTTCTTTACTTTCGTCAAATTTATACTGTCTTGCAATGTGTTACAGGTTGAACGTGGGCACGCAGTACTTGTTCATGCTGCAGCAGGTGGGGTTGGCTCCCTATTGTGCCAATGGGCAAATGCCCTTGGTGCTACAGTCATTGGGACTGTATCAACTAAAGAGAAAGCAGCCCAAGCTAAAGATGATGGGTGTCATCATGTCATAATCTATAAGGAAGAGGATTTCGTCACTCGTGTCAATGAGATCACATCTGGCCAAGGAGTTGAAGTTGTGTATGATTCTGTTGGAAAAGATACTTTTCAGGTATTGGTATTTACATTCATTCATTCTTTATCGACCAAGTTAGCCTAAATTCACAGAAAAGCTTTCAGAAAAGCAACACTTTCATCAGAATGGTGAAGTTTGTTCATGTAGGTTGGGGTTTAGTTTAACAAAATCCCTTTTAACTGTTGGAGATTGAAATTATTTTAAAACAATCATAACTTGCCAAATCATTAATGATTAACGGCGAACTAGCAATAAACCAACTATCCAGGGGAAATTTAATGCAACATCTTTAGCCTGTAGGAAAATGAACAAGAAAACTATGATGGGACAATACTTGGGTGACCAGGATTAAAAAGAATTTATTGTGCTTATTAAGTCCTGTTCCTATGTAGCCTTTGATTAGAAATTTTTTTGATCAGGGATCATTAGACTGCTTAAAAACTCGTGGATACATGGTGAGTTTTGGGCAGTCATCTGGCTCACCAGATCCAGTACCTTTATCAGCTCTTGCAGTGAAATCGCTATTTCTGACAAGGCCTAGCATGATGCACTACACAATGACGAGGGATGAACTACTAGAAACTGCCGGAGAGGTATTTGCTAATGTGGCATCAGGTGTCTTACGCGTCCGTGTGAATCATACTTATCCCCTGTCTCAGGCGGCACAAGCACATACCGACCTTGAGAGCAGGAAAACATCTGGATCAGTTGTACTGATTCCAGATGATGCTCAGTAGTAGTTTACTTTGTATACTGCCAACATGAAATATATTAAAGGCATACTAGACTTCAAATCTGAGCTGAACCATAATAAATGCCTATGTGCATCCTTTGCCGATTTGTACTTCTCATTGTGTAACAATAGTGTGTTGTATTTGCCTGTTGTTGTACTGCGTGGATGCTGTGTTCAATTTCCAGCCTTCTGCAAGTGAATGAACAAGTTCCTTCAGGTTCTTTCTAGCTTACTCTGAGCATGAGAGCTTATTTTGTCTCATAATCATAGGAGCATCTGTCTGTGTGTGTTAGATAATTGCAGGTGGAACGATTGAAGGTCCTTAACAAATAGTTTTGCTGATTACTATTTTTAACCAAAGTCCAGCAGGTTTTATAACTACTTAAGTTATATACAATGGCATTGTTCTTTTGAGGCTGGTAAAGATTTATGCAACCCTTCCATGGCGTAATTTGCTGAAGCTCATGGAGAAATGGGACTGGTCATTTTGGGTTTTATCGTTTTAACAATCTCTGCTAGTAGTCCAAAGAGTTACGAGAACTTGGAATTATAACTGCTATTAAGTACTTAGGCTAGCAGTTAAATGATCCAAAACATTTTATAATGTTAATAATGCACTGAAAATCAACACATACCTAAACTATCACATTGAGTTACATATCTTAACTATTCAATCTTCCCATTACATACCTAAACTATCACTCCATGTGAAAAGAGAGTTCTTCTTGCTCATAGCTTAATTTATTATAAGTTGAGAGATATGATCATTTGACGTTGGAACATTTTCAATCCTTGAACAGTTTGAGTTTATTTTAACTTTCTTCTCCTCACTACCTTCAAAACACAAGATTTTGGCACCACACACCTCTACATCACTTCACAAATTATTCAAAGATTGCTATGAGTATCTATCCTTATTTCAACGATATATTGATCATGATTTCTTGAGGGTATAAATTTCATTAGTAATTAGTTATATTCTATCGCTTGCAAACAACTCCACTTTCATAAATTCCGGTAGTGCACCTCAAGCTTGGCAGCTCCAAAGCAAAACCAGTTTCATTATCAGATTCTTCTTCATTTGTTTGAAACTTAGTGACATAACAATCAGCATCAAAGAGTCCTGATGTTAAAAACTCTTTGTCACCTCCCATTACAGGCATCAATACACCCATCTTAACTTTTCTCACATACTTCTTCTTATACGTTTGTCCTAGAACACCATCTACTTCGTCACTCAAAGAGAAAAACTTGAACCCAAGTTCAAGATGAGCAAAACAGTCATCTTTTGGTATACCATAGTTGTGAACTCGAGATTCTTGTTCTGTAATAGGTACAACCTTAGCAGTGATCTTGAAAACATTTTCAACTTCTATGACAATGTCGTTTGTGTTGCTAGTTCTAGTAATGGAGGCCATGGGTACAGTTTCATCAGATTGCCACCTTGCTCCTTCCTCATCACGAAGAAGTATGGGTGTATCGTTGAAGTGCAGGGAAAGGCGGTCAATGTAATCATCCCATGTTGATGTTTTTACTGCACCTATTGAGATCCTGTGAGAACCATAAAGGATACCAATGGATTGTATCCAAGTGAAGTCCCTCTTCATGTTCCGATTTCGTCTTCCTATGAAATGAGCATTGATGTGGAATTTAGGGTCTGAAACTAAGCAGAAATCTTTGTCCTTCTTGCCATGGAAGTAGAAGGTAACTCCATCGCCACCGATGAAACGAGGATCTTGGCAAACTGCTCCAGGTATGTCACACTCTGCATCAGATAAATGTACATCATTTAGTTGAACAAAAGGCTTGAAGAATTTGTATATGTTCTCTGTTTCATATATAACATACCAAAATGACCTTTGGTAGTTTTGGTAGTCTAGTAAATGTTAAACATTGAGCGGTATGAAGTTGATATTAAAGAGTTTCCAAATCTAGATATGTCGTTGTATAATAATAGAATAGAGAAGTAAGGAAGTAACTTACTACAAACAGGTTTGCAAGAGACACAATCAACCAAACAACCACTAGGACAAGAGGTAGGGCATGAAAATTCGAGATTATAACAATTATGGTAATACTTGTTCTTGCACTTAGCCTTCCTCGGGGTTGGTGAGGGTGGAGGAGGAGACGCGGGTGACAAAGTTGGTGGCATTGGGCCATTGATACAAATAGGCTTGCAAGAACGACACTCCGTTATGCAACCAGTAGGACAGAACATGGGACATACATGAGGAAGATTTTTACATTGCTTGATTTCATCATCTGAGCAATGAGAATTGCTAGGATGGTAAGCTATTCCTGGGGGAGTTGCCTCTACCTTTGCTATAAACATTAACAAGACAATGCCTAGATCCACAACAATAGTGAGGGCCATTAGTAGCTATTGAGAGAAAGATAAGTGATGGATTATAAATTGTTATATAGATATCTTAGTCAAATACACATGCCAGTTGTAATTTCTTAAGAGACGTGCAAAGTTCAAACCGAACAAGTAAAAGTGGACGAAGCTCGGGACTAAAAATAATGGTATGTTTGTTTGATAAGTTACCTTTCATGTGCTCCTTTTCCCAAGTCCAGTATTCTATTCAATATTTGTGCTCTTAACAGGAGTATTATACTTCAACACACATGTGGTATCTCACTTTGTCTTGGCCATAAATTTAGATACAACACTTTCCTTATAGTTTTATCTTCTTCATATACACGTATCTTTCTTCAAGTAGCTTCGAAATAAAATGAACTATGATTATTATTTCTCTGCCAGGAGAATAAATATGTCGTCTGTATTATGATTTACTTTTCTAAAATTGAGATTATTTATAAATATATTCTATCATCCATAGGATAAAACTAGCACGTCTTACTAAAAGAAAAACAGAAAGGTTCCCAACCAAAAATCCATTGTAATAGCATATTATTTATCATTTTACCTGATTACAAATAAATGTTTATAAAAAAAATTACATCTAATTATCTACAATTGATTTGATTGCACAAATACTTTTTCATACCATATATTGAAAAATCTCTACACTCCAATCAATATGTATAACTACTAAAAATTATTCTTTTTGCACGAAAAAATGATCGATGACTATTTCCACACATATTTTGATTAAATCGGTTTAATTAAAAGGAAAAAGTAGCAAATTTCATATGGAAAATTCAGGAAGCTTCCCACTATTTTGGTAAAAATTTATTCCACCGTACATTTTCACAATGAGCTGATTCAATAAAAAGTAAAAAAAAATAAATTATATTTTATAGTACAAACTCTTTACTGATCCGCAATGAAATAAGTCTTTAATTTTTAGTAGTATGTGTAGCCGCTAGAATCACAGTATCATATGCTATTTATTTTCTGCGTCCCTCTTTTATAACTTTGCTTTGAATAATGGTATTATTATATTATTTTTATAAATAATAAGTATAATGGTTTCGCTACTGAAGTTGACATAATTGTATATTTGTCTCCACTCTCGGAGAAAGAGGTTCTATTTGTTTGCCACTCAATTTTGCGCTCTTGCATAAATAAATCTAGAATATAGCTAGGTGGAAGCAAAATGAATATAGAATAGGGCCATTACATAGATATCTACGTAAAAATGGTACAAAATATATATTAAAAGCCCACAAATAGACAAATTTACATAAGAATCAAACTCCAAACATAGTGTTATCGATATAAGAGTTTAAATCTGTCTGTTCAAAACATAAGATATATAGACAACGTAAAAGAGAGAAATCAATAAGTTTCTGGATGTCAAGAGCTTACCACCATCCAATCGGAAATCAGCGAGGGTGGCTCGTACTAGGCGGTGCATCAGAAAACGAGATTCATAATTACCATATATATATATGAGTATCAAAACATTATGATTGTATTTGTTCATAGGATCTTTAGTGCTAACTACTTTCATGTATTTTATGAGGTCTACTAATTGAATACATACATACAATGACACGAGTATAAAGTAGAATATGGTAAATATATACTCACATTTCGTATGTGATGATTACTACTCCATGTAAATAGATTTCTACTGTCGAATATCAATATCAAGATATAAAACAAAAAGAATATGACAATCGTTAACTATCTGATTAAAATATCCTATATTGCCAACTTATCGATGATAATCCATTTTGTTAAATGGCTTGAGAGTTGAAATCAAAATACATCTAGCTTATCATCCATTTTGTTAAATGGCTTGAGAGTTGAAATCAAAATACATCTAGCTGTTCTACCTGATTTTAAAAGGGTTTAGAATCATCATCTAATTTTTAGGAAAATATTTATATGTAAATTCTATTTTGATCTTAGTTAATAAGGAGAAAGCACTAAATATTCTTCTAAACCTATTCAAACGTACTCCTTAAACTTAATTTGGTCAATAAGGAAATCGCTCTTTTTTTTCAATTAATACGTGTTAAAGGAAAATGTTTAAGAAGTTGTAATTTAGAATAAAGTATGGGAAACAAAGTAAACCTAATTTTAAAACCATTTGAAGTTAAAAATATATAAGAAGTAATGAAATGTGGGAGTGTGATACAGGGGTGTGTGTTTATATATACACACTTGTAGGTCTTCTCAGACAATGAACATACGATTCGATATAAATAAATATTTAATTTCAAATATTTACAAAAAGTTTAGTCAATTACACTAGAAAAAGGATATGATGGCTCATATAACCTCACAAAAAATAGCAGAACGAGTTATATATTGCTGCTAGGAATCTCAAAAGGCTTCTTCAATAACTAATTATAACCAATTTTTTTCTACCATGGAGAAGCAGCCAATGCCTTGAACTTGAGCTCAAAGTTCGCATCTTTCTTTGTTAAGGCCTCAATTTCAGATTCTACATTCTTCATCACTTGTTTCACTTTCAATACCTTTTCTTCAATAATCCTCATTTCCTCTTTTGCTTCAGCTAGCTCAACTTTCTTTGATTCAAGAACGTCTTTCGATTCACTTGATAAACTATCAAGCTTACTTATCCTTGCACGCAAAAATCCAACGTTCATTCCTAAACACTCGAACCCTTTCAATGTATTGTCCCAAGTATCAAGATACTCACGAGGAGTCCAACTCTCACAGGCTCTTATGGCATCAGCAATGTTCACAGTTTCAGTAATCATTCCAGCAGCTAACTTGACATTTAGGCCAGCAAGTAAATGGTCATGGAGAAATGAATTTTGGGCGCGACAAAGATCATAGTATTTGGTCCTAATGTGTAATGCAGGAACCTCGGAGTCAATGGTCAGGCCATCAACAATAATGTTGAAACCAGAATAGTCCTTCACATCTTTGAATTCGACTCGTGATTCTGAAAATCTAATGCCTTCTAAAACATCAGAGCCGTTATCGCTGTCATTTCCACATTGATCAGCTATAGGGTCGTGGTCCGAGTTAGGTAACAACATGGGTTCCTCAATTTTGTCATCTTGATTAATATCTAGGACAGGAGGCTCCAAGTATTTCTCCTCTTTTGCTTCAAAAATTTTAATCTCTTCATCGTGATCTATCGAGATAATAATATCAGTAAATCGACAGATAGTACATCTTGCTTGCGATAGAAATTAAATATACTGATCGTAACCATACCAGATTTGATTGGTCGAGCACGAAAATCCAGATTTAGAAGAGTAATAGCACCATCAATTTCTGTCAAGCAATTTTCTCTTACTATGTATACCTAAAACAGGGGAAAAAACAGTAAGGCCTTTGCTTTACTGTCATAAAACTGCAACATACAAAGAATATTCACATTGTCACATTAGGATAAAAAAGATAGTTCAATGCACTAACTCGGGTCTAGAAAAAGATCGAGTCACATTGTGTCTATTGTACGCGATAGATATTGTAAAAATGACAACAAATATAACATGTGTTACCTTAAATTTGGAGGGTTGAATCAATTGGAAGACTAAGACATCCCCTTCGAGAAGGTTATGAGCAATGGAGAAACCTCTCCAACCCCCACTCAATCCGTTCTTGTCAATAAGGTACTTGGTAGGAGATTCTTCGTCATTTTCATCCACTAAAACAACAATGGCATCATGTTTTGGCAAATGACAATCACAAAATCTCTTTGGGAAACCCTGTTATATTCACACCAAAAAAAAAACAATAAGACCATAGTACTAACAAAAAGTTCTAATTTTTTCAAGAAAATTTTGAACTTACCAACCAAAATCCCCCACTGACATGTGAAGGGAGCATATACTTAACAAAACTAGGAAATTGACAAGGCAAATTTGCTTGGACTTCTGCAGCTCGCAACATTGCGGATGAATTTACATCAACAGAGCTGTGTTTCAGTGTCTTTTTTTCAAGGCTAGTAAAATCAAGAATCAAAAGCATTATCAGAGAGATAACAGAACCTTAAAATTTAAGTTTTTGCATTTTTGACACTGACCATATTTGAACCTTCTTTGTACCTCCATTTACCACCTGGCAAAAGAATTTTACGGATACATTTATTAGTGCTAATAGAAGAACAAGGGGCATGACCAAAAATTCAATATTTACAATATACATTCAAGAAATGACACCTAAATGACCTTGGAAGTGGAAGGTCTTGAACTTTTGACCTTTGCTTGCCCCGTGGGGAAAACTTGAAGATCAAAAGTCAAAACTTGTAGTTATAAGCCGGACAAAAGTTTAAGATCACCCATCTCGAAGAACACTTATTTATGAACAAATAGAGTAAAAAAAATGGTTGTCACCTTGTTGGTTTTAGTAGGAGCCAAAGTCTTTTTCTTGATTTGCTGTGCCTTTTTCTGGTTAAGTCATCAAATGAGAGAACAAATTAGAAACATGGGCTAATCATTATATGTAAATATAAATAGAAGGAGATTGAATACCTTTGAGGAAGAAAGAGCAGGGCTTTTCTTAGAGGAATATAGAGAAGAAATTGCCATTTCAAAAAAAAAAAAAGGTTCACTGGAAATTCACTTGTATTGTATTTTGTTAGTAATTTAAAAATGATAGTTTATTTTAAGTGGAGAGGAGAAGTGAGAAAGGGCTAAATTGGAGGCAAAATTTGAATTGGTTGGCAGAGTACTAGGTACTAGTATGGAATGATTTGTTTCCTTTTCCCAATGCACTTTTTTACCGTTTCATTTTATGGGTTTTAAACTTTCTTTTTTAAAAGAAAAAATTGGCTTCGGGAAAGTTTAAATCTTTTTTCACTTTTTATATATATTAAAATGATTCAAAAATGATCTTAAACTATATGAAATAAATAAAAATATCTCGTTTTTGTAGTTTAAATTAAAAATGTCTTTATAATTGATAGCTTGATCGAGAAATACTCCTATTGTTTGGGATAAAATTTGTTGTTTTTTATTATTTAAAATACATCTTGTTCATAATAAAAATATTACTTTGAAATAACTTTATTCTTATTTCTTTCTTTTAAAATCACTTTTACTAATAAAAATATAAGATTTTTTTTATTCTTCTCAATCCATATTATCAGTTAAAATAGAACAATTTTACATACCCTTTAAACCGATATGTAAATTCATCATTAGTTTTTATTTAAATAACGATAAAAATAATATAATAAAACAAGAAATAGTTTCAAGTAGGGAAAAAGAAAATGGGAAAAGGGGATTTTGACTTTGTTTATTTGTTGTCAACTTGCCATTTTAAATGCTGAGACGGTCTTAGGTCCTTCCTATCTTGTAAAAATGTAAGTCAAACAACCAGAATTTTAACCAATAGAAGAAGAGGCTTTCAGGCTTCAGCTGCTCGTCTTCTAAAAATAACCAATTTTCCTTCTTAAAATAACGATACAAACTTTAAATTTTTTTTGGGTAGGATAGAACTGTTGACACACTGATTCTAATTTGGTTTTCTATGCAGATTGGATAGAATTTAGACATGTATAATTCAAGACTCAAGAGTTGATCCATCCAAAGTTTGTTTGGTTTGGACTTAAACAATGAATCATAACTCAACCAATTCGATTAAAAACTGCTAAATTGCATCGGCTGTGGGGTACACACCGTGCAAGAATGCACTATCTTTGATCAATTGAGTTCTAAAAGACAGCACTACTCACTGCTCTAGCTAAAGGCGCGCAGCATTCCAGCTTGTGCAATAGAATCCTATCTCACTGAAGTTGATACATTGAGACAGTGCAGCTGTAAGATTTTTTACATCATCTAATGTGTGAGCTGCGCTCAGAGCTATCCTTAACCTGAAAGAAAGGAGCACGAATGTGAATAAACTAATGTCCCCACATTATCGATGTACTAACTTGCAGGTAAACAAATGGAAGACATTGCTATACACTATTAGGTCGAAATTTACAAGAAAGGGACATGGGAGTGCCTTTGATGCCTTCACATACTAACTATCCATTTTACAAGTACTTCAGCGCACTCAAAAGTAACTGTTACGAGTGGCTCATGGAAGGTGCGCAACAGTAGGAGATGTGATAAGCCCTTCAAACTACTACTCAAAGCAGGAATAGAGGGCAGCTTTCTTAATAATTGAAACAGATAGTTTTGCTCACATCAAGGGAAGCTCTTCGTTAACTAGAAGCTCATTGGCTCACCTTTGACTCTAGCCTCTCATTTAACTCACTACTTCGTCAACTTCTAAGTCCCTTATGAGAGGAATGCTGCTCATAACTACTAGCTATCCATCTAGCCCGCGATAGAGAAGGCTCTTAAAAAAAGGTTGAATGAGGTCATTAACATTGAATCATCATAAAGATTTGTCGCTCATAGCCAAGGTTGCCCTCCATTTTGTTAAGTTTATCTGCTCCGCTAGAGGGGTAAAGGCAAGGTAAAATGAACCACCCAAAAATCTTATATCATATGTATAAGCTAGGATAGCAGATAGCTGCATCAGAAGTTCCTTAAGCAGACTAACTAATGCAAGAAAAGAGCCCAAAGTTCCACATGAAGAAATAAGGAGGGCAAATTGACAGAAAATGATGCAACAAAAATTGCCATAAGAGGATGCTATTAGAAAACACAACAGCAATCACTAAAAAACTCCAGAAAGTGATACGAAAGAGACAAACCTGCAAGAGTTAGGGGCCACAGTTGGAGGTCTTATTGCAGTTATGTGGAAGCCAAATTCCAAAAGATGTCTGCTTAGTAGAGATGCTATATTTAGAAAAGATTAAAATAGAGACAAATGAACCGACAGATGCTCAAAAGACAGAGGGAAACCTGCTAGCTTGCAAGGCTGTCGCTTCACTTCCCACTATAAGGGAAATGATTGGACTTGTAATGGGAATTCCTGTCAGATCACGGAAATCCTGAACCCTGTTCCATATAGCTCTTCTACGCCACATCTCTTTTTTTGCCACAATAACAGCAGCTGCGTAAGTCATACCATTAACAATGTACAGGTTAGCCACATTTTTTAATAAAAGAAATAACAGTAAAGCCACATAAAATGCAAAGGACGAGAACTGTGTGCCAGTCTCAGCTTCTACCTGGTTCTGGTATTCTGCTTCTCATATTTCTTAAATATTACTGTTTTTACTTTTTTTTTCCAAATAGTAAAAGAAAAGAAAGGAAGTTGTATAACTCTGGGATCTAGAAACACTAAAATTTTGTTTAAAGTGAAAAGAGCAATAACGAAAATCACTATTCAACTTGGTAGATTTACCATGTGCAGCAGCAGCTATGGGCACTGGGGTAGATGTTGAAAATATGAAAGAGCGGCCCCTGGACTGTATAAATTGCTTCCATTTCTTGCTGTTCATTTAGCATTCCAACCCCAAAAAAGAGAAGAAGAGTAAACAACATTTTCTATTGAAAATAACAGAAAATTCACTAGCTAAGTCGTGCATCAAGGCCAAATATTTCAGTACTATTAAGGAATTTGACTTTCATAAAAGAGAAAGGGCTGATCTAAAATTGACGTGTTTAATACTACATCAGGTTCTGCTAATTGTTGAAAGAACTCCATGTCTAACAGAACAAGCAGCCGAAAGCAAAAAAGGAAAAGAAAGTATTTCTATGGATAAGAATTTCAACTTGAACTTAAAGAGGTATAGAGCTCAAAATCCAGAACCCAAAGAACTTCCGTGTGATCCACATAAAGAAAGGTAAGGGAAATCGGTCTCATCACAAGTCTACTTCAAGTTTCTGATCAATGAAAAGAGACTGGCTCCAAATGATGTTTAACTGCCTAGTGGTTTCAACCTTAAAACTCGCAGCAGTAGATAAAGAGTAGTGCTCCTAAACTGAAGATTCGTGTCCTAAAGATTAATCAAAAGAGGACTGAACTTAAGACCTCATGCAGTCTTCAGTGAAGTAAGATATAAAAGAATCTGTCTGTGTATACACATAATATACACGCGGCACGCGGGCATGCACACAGAGAAATACAATTTACTATTACTTTTGGAGTACCTGCATGCTATGTATCCACCATGACAACCTCCTGCCTTACTCAGAGTACCAATGCAAATGTCCACACCACTTATGCAGTTGAACAACTCTGCTGCACCACCACCGGTTTTGCCACAAACAAATGTTGCATGAGCCTAGAAAGTTGAAGGAAAAAAAAGAACAAAAGTTCTCATGATGATGACACATATCATAATCAAATCAGTTCAACAATAAGTAAAAATAAACTTCGTAAGCAATAAACTATTATATTAAGGACGAAATTACAAGAGATGGAAGAACTCGAGGAAAGTAAATGAACATGGATACTATAGATCTTTGGAACTACTTCACTAGTGCTTCCCAATGAAGATACGCAATGGATATCATCGAAGGGGAAAAATTAGTATTAGATCCAAGGACCAAAGCAAGATTCTGAGGAACAAAATAAGATAAATATTGCTTTCTTTAATAGAAGTTTAAAGACTTACATCGTCAATTGCCAACAAAAAGCCATGCTTCTTACGGAGTTTCACAAGCTCAACCAGTGGTGCAAAGTCTCCATCCATACTAAACAAGCTGGTAAAAGGAGGACAAAATCAAGTGGTTGCAAAAAAATTACTCAAATATAGTAAATGCTCCCCCAGTTGCTGTATATACACCACTTATCCATCATTGTACAGCTAAAAGATCATAAAAGTAACTATTTTCCTTTTTTTCCCCTTCTTTTTTGTTTTTTTTTAAACTGGTACTAAAGTTACACCATACAACTTTTTCTTCCTTCTGCTTCAGGATTTTTGGGGTCATGACAGTGCAGATGAAGTTGATAACAAGTGAAACTTTCAATCATGACTAACCTGTCAGTAATGACAACTTTTTTCTTCATTGGGCAATTTGTTCTGTTAAAACACAAATACTAAAAATGAAGAACAGAATAACATTTACCGTAAGTAGAAATCAAAATGAAGAATAACATACAATAACTCATTAAGATGGTGCATATCACAGTGCTGATAGACAAAAGCAGCTACGCTTTTCTGTTTCTCAGCTAGACGTATACCATCAATGATTGATGCGTGATTCAGGGCATCGGAAAAAACAGCAACTCTTTCATCTATTGAAGGTTGACTGTCTTTGGCTAGGAGCAGACTAACATTGCCTACAGCTGTCATAAAGGCCATATTGGCTGAAAAGCCTGTGGGACAAAGAAGGCAATCCTAATATGTAAAATCAGAGAGAGTAAGCATCAGTTTGGATCAGTCATTCACTGAAAGTGTGTCAATTTTTGGATAATAATCTCAATTTAGAACCATTGCTAGTTAAAAACATTCCATGAATTTGAAAGATACATCCACTCATCTTTATACTATGCAGAGTCCTAGATGACGATTATGGAACTTTGAAACATTTACTCCAGCATCCAGGTGGTATAAGAATAGAAGGAAGGAACACAAATTAGATGATATGATTTAATAGTTAATTATCATCAAGCAAGTGGCAATCGGTTCCTTATTTGACGAGATTTGCAGCAAGTGTGAGAACCTAGTTTAATAAACATAAAATTGTCTTTATCAAATAAATAATAAACACGCAAGTTCCGTTTTGTGGTGTACAAGACATCAGAAGCAATTGGTAAAAAGG